CAGCACATAACAAGAGATGGGAAGCTGCATAATAGAATTCAAAGTAATAAAAACTGCGGTTGTCCATCCGCCTGCCGTGTGTGAAAATTACGGCAATATGGCCTATGAAATAATCAAGAGGGGGGCCTGTGTTCAGCGGTGGACTTGACAGGATGTGATGACTATGATGATGATTAGCTACTGCATCTGAGCAACGGAGCTACTCTCGACCTTAGAAAAAAATTCTTAGGGATGTAACTTAAAACATGGAAAGTAAAATATTATAATACAAAATTTCCTTTAGATTGTCAAAGAGGGTTCCGAGAAACTAATAATATATACATATGAGCTTGCCCGACAGACTTTGTTCTGCCCTTTTCGGTGAATTTCACTCTGAATTTCCGGATCCGGATATTTTAAACAGTAAATATAAAATTTATTAATACCTAACTAAAGCATAGCGCCAATTATCTAGTACAGCTTCTGGTATTCTTTTCGGTACTAAATCAACATATAATTTTATAAATAAATAAGACTATAGCGCCATCTATCGGATCCTAGCATAGCTGTAAACCATTTTCTCAAAAATTAAATATATTGTCATTGAATTTAATACTGTAAAGATCACTAAGAGACTCATAAACGATAATGTGATCTATATGTTGAAGAGATGATATATAAAGATATTATATATTTAGATTAATAGTCGGTTATGTCGAATTACCATTCCATTGCACTGCAGTGTAGGAATCGAAAGTGCACCTGTACTTGCGCATACACTTGGACACTAAAAGCGACGGGTATAATTTTGAATCTAATCCATCAAGGGATCACTCAAACACACTCACAAATGTCATCAAAATCAATTTAGCCATTTAGGAAGAATTCAGTGACAATCACGCGTACATAAACATTATATATAAATACTTAGCTAAAACTAACTAAAAATATGACTGCACCGTTCGTCTAGTGGTTGTAGAAATGCGACTGCTGATCATGAGGTCCTGGGTTCGAATCCCGGGTCGGGCAAAAAAATCAACTATCGAGTTTTTCTGTCAAGAAATTCTCAGTAGCTGCCCGGAGTCAGGAAGTTGACGGTGTCTCACCCCCGTGCCTCGGAAAGCACGTAAAACCGTTGGTCCTACGCCTGATCTCTCTCCGGTCTTGTCGGTTTACCGTCCTATCGGGTTATGAGAGTGAGGGAATAAAGAGTTCATTTGTGCTTGCGCATACACTTGGGCACTATAATCCTGTCCTGCGCTGATGGCTAGCCTCCGTTGAGGCAGGCCGTCGTGGCCGAAATTCGATCTGGAGGACATTATTATTATTATATAAATACTAGCAAACTGCCCGACTTCGCACGAGTGATTTTTTAATCTCGACAACAGCGCCATCAAAAAAAAATATATATATATATATATATATATATATATATATATATATATATATATAATTCTTCTGTCAGTGTTTGTTTGGTTCTGGTCTATATAAAGAAATATAAAGATACAAGAATTGCTTGTATAAATTGTTAAGATATCTTAAATGTTATAAAAGATAACTGTTGAATATTAATTTCCTATATTATATACGAGCCGAGGCAATACTTTAGCACTGTATATTCTCCATTGCAGTTAGAAATAGAAGTACGGAATGGAATCCAGCCATCAATAAAACTAAATCCAATTCCAAGCTTATCAATGAAAAGTTTTAAGACAAATAAATAAAAACATTAATTTAAAACTGAAGTTAACCACGATTAACTATTACATCAGTGGATATTTAACTTCTCGTTACTTCTGTGTTGCAAAGCATTCGAAACATCGATAGTTAAAAATAAGTTGAGTGCAAAAAAACCTACTAAATTAGTATTATTAGACAGATTAATTTCAAAATCCTAAATCCTCAAAAATCGCAATATAATGACATCTTTCATTTTTCAGTCTACGGAATAGTTCTGAATTCAGTAATTATTTTTGTAGTTTTTTTCAAACACTGGTGATAATATTAGTTAACATTACTGATATTACCCTGTAGATTTTAAGTTTAATTGCGGTTCACTCACTATCCACTTTTTATAGCATAGGATGACAAATAAGCATACAGTCTACCTGATAGTAAGTGGTTGCGGTGGTCCATAGGCATCTATATATATCCCCCGATTGCAAATCGAAATGCAGATGCATTGTCACCCGTAAGGACTAAGATGTAATGCCTCGTTTTCAGTAAAAAGGGTCTCCGGTTTTCTGCACTCACCATACGAAACATATCAGCATTAAGCTACTATTTTTCGCTGATAATTTGTGAGAGCGTGGTCCTTCCCCGGTCGAGGCGACCCATTTATACTTCAACTATATACTATTAATATAACTGCGGCATGTCTCTACCATTCACAAAACTTCTGTTCGGAATATATTAAAGTATCGATTTTATTTGTTCATGCGGAATGGTTATATCGTAAGAAAATCTATCGATGGTGAGGCGACCCATTTTCTCCGGTGGGCGTGGAAAGAGACGACTATTGAAAATCGTGCCCACAATAATGAAGGTTTGTTCAAAAAGTGAAATTTTACTGGCTATTGAAGAATTAATAGAGCATACGCAGTAATATCGGAGAAAAGCTGCCTTTAAGGCCGAATATTTAAGAGGATGGTATCAGAACAGATGGCTGGTGTGTGTATCCTCTTAAGTACTTGCATTTAGCATTTTACAAGCAATTTTTATTTATAATTCTTGTTTTATGTATTTCGGTGTATTCAATAATGTACATTATTAGTTATTTAAGAAATATTTATTAAGATCTTAGTAATTCTTTCTTTTTTATAGGATAGGGTGACAAACGAGCACACAGTCCACCCGATGGCAAGTGGGTGCTGCGGTCCATAGATATCTACATCCATCCTTGATTACGAATCAAAATGCAGATGCGTTGTCACCCGTGAGGACTAAGATGGAATGCCTCGCCTCCAGTAAAAAGGGTCTCCGGCTCCCCACACTCACCATACGAAACACAGCAGCATTAAGCTACTGTTTCACGCTGGTATTCTGTGAGAGCGTGGTCCCTCCCTGGTCGAGCCGACCCATTCGTACTACAACTATACTTCAAATATAACTGCAGCATGGCTCTACCACGTAAGAATTCTGTCGAACAAAGCAGCGAACGTAGAATTTTGCTATTATATTATTAGCCTTTATTGAAGTTATGTAATCAAATTTGGGACATTGTACATGGAATAATGTTAAAAAAGGTTACCTACATAAAAGGTAAGTGTATAAACTGTATAGAATGTGGTTACTTTATTCTGAGAAATTGTGAGTAGAATATAAATAAAACTAATTAATGCATAATTGCTCCCACGTTTATTTTTCCTTCAAATATATTAAGATTTATTTTATAAACGTAAAAAATATAAACACAAAAATATCGATATCACACTAATAACAACAACAACCAATAATTGAAATAACTTGCAAGACAGGAATGTAACTGAGTTATATACTGAGTTTTTTTTTAAAATAACATATATTGAGGATTTCAAAGAGAAAATATGTAAATAAAAATATACGTGAAAAATTTACAAAATTGTTTTTTACTAACAATTATCTATAATATTCAGGTATTTAAATATTTTATGCTGCACTATTCACAAATGAAGTGACAATATAATAAGTCAACGTATTGTTAAGTTAGAAAATAACAAGAGAATAGTGTTAATTACGCTTAAACAAATGCTACAATTTTTTTGAGAAATAAAAAAAATTACCTAAAATATTTTGTGACATGTTTAAATACTGGAATGTCTGCAATATCTGATAATGGCTACAAATTTCCATACCTTATTCTAATTTGTTAAAACGAATAGTTTTTACAAAAACAGTTTTAATGCAAATAAATGCCATTCCACCAGGTTTTGGTAACTTTGTAACAGACACTATAAAAATGTTCCAAATTCTCAGATACTAAACTGACGATGGAAAAAATATCGCAATGTTGCAGTTTAAACTCAGACTGAATAAAAAATATAGAGTAACCAATACATTAAATAAACATCTTTTATTGGCGTAAGCATAATTAAAGGAATATTTTATAAAAGTAAAAAAAATCTCCAACCAACGAAACAAACAACGATATGTATAGTAAGTAACATGCGAGACAATATCAAACACAAAATGGACTATATACAAAATACAAATGAATTATCCTAGTCATTACTTATGAAATAAAATGACTCAGTAAACTGGCCTAAATACTAAAATAAATACTTAGATAACTTTTCTCAAATCAAATAATCTAATATCATACAGTTTGTCTTAAATTTATTTGTACATTTTAAATTTTGAGCTTCACAATCGACTGGCCGTTAATCCCATAAACATTAAATTAATTGGTAATAAAATTAGCACTGGCATCTTATATGAACTGGCACTTTTGGCACTGGCACATTAAACATGACACTTCTCATATATCTACCGTAAACCTAAGTTGCTTCAAAAGCTACTCACCGCAATTTCACTTTACAAATTCACTTAATTTATTAACACCTGGTACAAATCTTCTACGAACATTATAACACGTCATCATACACATACACCCTTTACATTCGCTTTAAATCTATTACTACTAGTGATAGTTTTTAAGACTTTTATTATTAGTATAAAATCATCATTTTGATTAATTCTTAGGTAAATAATTTTTGCTAAAGAATTGATGATGTATTTCGTCTTTAGAATTATAGTGTTATAATGGAACTAAATTTCTTTACACATATTTTTATATTCTCTATATTTTATAACAATAGAAACTTAAGTTTATGCGACTATCTAAAAGTATTTCTACTATTATGGTAGTAAGATCAGGTAATCTAGAAGAAAGGAATGCACATATCACTTAAATACTGTATGGCAGAGTATTTATACTACAAAATATGTGTACCTAATTAGGAATAAAATTCAAAACTAATTTACACATCCATAAAAAAAATTGCGTTTTCATATGAATTATAGAGAAGTATTTTAATTTGCTCTTATCCAGTCATGGGAACTTCTTCCGTCCGTTTCGGTACAAGGCTTAAATCGAGGGGATTTTTCATCATGTCCTTTCCATTATCTTCATTTAAGTCGATACTCAGTTCGGGTTCTGAATCACTTATTTCATCTTTTTTAGGGCTTCTAAATAAAACAGCAGTTGATTTAATAGACAGGTCTATTGGCTGCTCTTGTTCTATTGCCACTCCAGCAACAGCTGGTGAATGAAGTAATAGATCTCCTCCATTACGATTTTGCCACGTGGTTATTCCAGGTGGCATAGATCTAAAGTTCTGTATTGCCGTCGGTAAAAAGGGACTTCGTCTTGGAGGGTAACTATGTGTGGCAGTAGCTGTGCTAAAAGGCAGTGATGGCAATGCTGATGGCTTTTTTCTTCGTAAATCTTTATTTTGATTTCTAAGAGCTTGCAACCGGACGTCTTTTTCGCTGCTCGGAGATGATGCTGGTCTAAAAATGCTTAATCCACTAGTACTCCTAGAACTATTATCATCTTCTGGGTCTGCTGAAGAGGCGCCTGAATCTGACGGTGAAACACTTTGCCTTGTTACGTCCTCGCTAAAAGGATTTTTTTCTGAGCTCTTGTAATATTCCGCTAAGGCCGCGGCAGGTAACAAATTTGTGGGTAGGAAGGATGAGTTAATAGTGGAATTAAACGTAGGAGGCGATTTACTAGTCTGCATTTGTTGCATGTGCTGCTGTTGTTGTTCTTGTAAGAGACAGTGAATTTTGAACCAATTAGATCTTCTTCCATATCTCGAGCCCGATTTGGACATACCAACTAACAAACATTTCCGTAAACGGCATGCTTTACAAGCGGTTCTATTTTTCTTATTGATGACGCATTCTCCATTATTCTTGCATTCTGATATTGAAGATAGATTGTTGTACGTTCGCCCGAAGAAAGACTGCAACAAGAGAAAATTTTAATTTTAATATATGGAAATTATGAACGGTAGTTTGAGTTTTACAAAAAAAGTTCCAAATTCTTATATGAAGTGTCCTTAATATAGCGTAAATTATCGACGGACTTCGGTTGGTATCCCATAAGAAACATCAATTTATAAACGATACAGTTAAGGGGAATCTCATACAGATGCATTCAATTTGGTCCGTTCGTGTTCGAAATTAAAAACTACATTTTTCAAAAAGTCATCATAAAGAGCGTTGCGCCCCAATCGAAATCTGGGTCATCGCGAATAAGGTCGTATCTCACACTTAAAATTGCAGAAGTGCTCATGCGTCCTGTTGCGTCTCTGACGTAAGTAATGGGAGTGTTATGCGGATTTTTTAAATAAATTTGGAAGTTACCCCGCTGTGAACAGCCTCGGCTCTTTTCTTACCCAATTAAACTCGTACAAAAGCGTAAAATATGTGATTGTGTTACAGTTTGTCTGGGTCTTACCGTGGTCGGTGTGCTTTTGTGCTAAATTATGATCTGTCGCATAATTTGGGGTTATGACAATATTTTTTATTGCTTATCGCATTTTACGAACCTTTTTTGTCTTAAGTTAAGCATTTAAATTAGCATTTTTGTTTAATCTAATATAATTAAGGAAATATCAGTTAGGGATCATTATTTATTATTTTTATGACTACGAACTGTACAAACTTATGCATAGTATATTAAATTAGTTTATTTTTATTAGTATTATTTTTGTTGCGCTAATGTTTCTGACATTTCAAAGTTTTAAAAAAATATTTTGTTAATAGAATAACGTTTTCAGATAGATCCTAATAATTTTATAAAGAAGTAATACTGAGCATCATAACCTATTGGGTAGGTATATAAAAGATTCTCAGTAGTGGTTTTCATAAACGTATAGCGTGGGCCTGAGTAGAACACGACAGAACGGTCATCATTCAAACCAAGATACACTAATTTGACAGATTATGTTACAAATATAGACATCAACGTAACAGCGCGAACACATTTTCAACACCCACAGATAATATTTATAGCTCACTTTAAACCAGTATTCGTCTCAACGATAGCATTTATAACTGAACAAAATTATGTATTCCAACAATTCGCGTACTCTAATCTGCGCGACTTCGACTAGTTGCGAAAGTATAAGAATCTCTGACACAGAATGGCACAGTTTTATTACTGTGTCCTATGAGCGTAGTAACTAAAGTGAGGTAATTTTGCGAACGCATATATGTGATTCACTAGATTAGAAATTTCAGATAAGCCTCTCTTCCTTATGGGTGCGGATCGCGCGTAACAGTTACGACCCTCTAATTGAGCGGCGTCGGTCCTCGTTGCGTATTGTACGTGACTTGATTCAGTTTTGTTATTACGAGAAATATTACCGCGATAATTGTCTCTGGATACATATTTTATGATGATGCTAACATTTCTTTATTCGGGTCGGCCTGAATTTCTTTTATCTGAAATACTCTTTAACATCTAGTTAACAATTACCGTAATGGATAATAAAAATAGCAATGCAATGTATTTTTGGTTTTATGTATCCATATTGTAATCAAACTCCAGTCTCGCGTCCAACGTCTGAGTGGAGAGCTCTGTTTTCGAAATTAGCTGAAGTAAATTACGTAACATCTAACTTATTGCGTTTTGGAACTTATCTGTCACTGACTTGGACATCCAACTCTATCGTTTCCTTCTTTCCCCTTTAATTTTTTTAAAGTTTTAAATATTTTCCCCTTTTTATTTCGTTTCGTTTTATCTGCATTTTCCCCTTTTTATTTCGTTTCGTTTTTGTGTTTAAAAGTTTATTATTTTTTCATATATCACTTTCTTTTTACTTTTTGTCAATAGGTTATGCATATATGTTTACATATAATTCTTTTACATATTTATTTAAAATTTGGCCTTACTAATTACTTTAAAACTTAACCTTAAAATTATGGCATTCTCTGTCAGTCAACCATGGGTATAGTTGTATTTTTTGCATTACAGTTATTGGAATATAGTTGTCAAATATTGGTTTACAATCGTTAGAAAAATATAAATCATTAGCAAACAAATTTTGAATGTAGAAAACGTACATAATGTACTTTATCCTTGCAAGGATTTGTATGCAATATGCATAAAATACATGATTATGTATAATACATAAATAAGGATGTACATGATTTGTTCATCCAAATAAATAATTAAGTGAATGAATAACGCTTATAAGTTATTAAGACCTGATAATTCGGCAAGCTTATTTTATACAATAATTACGTTTGTGACTCCAGATTTGCGTCGATCAACTCTATGGACGAAACCAATATATGATGTTATGTCCTCCTGACCGAATTTCGGTCACGGCGGCTACTCTCAACGGAGACCAGCTATATGCGCAGGAGAGGATTACAGTGCCCAAGTTTACGAGCAAGTACAGGTGCACTATCTATACCTTTAGTCTAATAGTCCGAGGGGATGGTTATTGACACGACTGGAAAGAGATCAAACGCAGGAACTACGGCTTTACGAGGGATGAGGGTGAAAAACCACCAACTTTCTTACTCTGAACTACTATTAACTTCATAAAAAAACCCAGTAACTGATTTTCGACCCACCCCGGGTTCTCAGGATTAGCTATAGTAGACCCGGGTGTGCTTTTTGTGACACTATAATACTAAATGTACACTCACACTCTAACGTGTTTCGGTTATGAGCGGATTTGGCAATCTTTGGCGGTTAAATACATAATTGACGAAATATCCGTAAAGGGCAAAATCATTAAATCTGTTAACATATTATTAATATTAATTAATAAATCTTTGATAACATCTTATCGATATGTTTGACAGATTGTACTCTCGACCAGCTGACCCGTCATTCAATAGTTTTTAGCAGTGAGAAACTTTCAAGAGATAGACATTCAATCAAGTAGATTTCAGACTACGCTATAATATATAGCATATAGTATATAGCTCATAGTACAACAATATCGCGCACCATACAAAGCCAATAATATATAGTACAGTACAGTGTGAACGTGTCGATAAAAATGTATGTTGCGCGATATTTTTGTGCTATGAGCTATATACTATATGCTATTATAATATAGTGTATGTGTCTGAAATCTACTTTAGACGAATCGTCGGTTCGAGTTTTTGTAATTAAATAGTTGGTTTCTAATATTTTGTGGATCGAAAAATCCAGTGACGTCTATGTTTCTAGCTTAGTTAGCTAGTAGTTGGAGGTATTAAAACGGACGGAAGAGATTAAAAACTGGGGTTTGCCAATCCGCATAGTAAGCGTGGTAAAATGCAACACCTGTTCAGCCATACAGCTGTAGACTCTTAATAAAACTCTGAACAAATTCCAGCCATTCATCGAATAAACGTGAAAGTGTGTGTTCTTGCCACTATACAGCGGGGAGTCGAACTTTTTCTTTTTTATAGTTTTTTTTGTAGTAAATATTATGTATATATATATATATATATATATATATATATATATATATTTTTAACCCTGTAATGTTTATATTCAGATTTTATTAAAGCTATTTTGTAAATGATTGTCAGATATTAGGGATAGAAAGCTATTTAGTCATACTATACTCCAATAGTAATGATAAATGTTCTAAGAACCCACCTCGTACTGCGTAGGTGTGGCGACGATTCTCACGGCCTTTCGTATAATAAAATGCTTTTTCTTTAATAACAATGTATTTGAGTAAGCTTTCGTTTTGTGTCATAATTTGAAGTTGTATTTTGGGTGAAGATTTCGATTTAATTTATTCAAACGCATATGAATCTGCTGATGCCTGCCAGAGTGAATGCACTTGTTGTATATTTTGTAATTATCAGGCGTTACTTTGCGGAAATCCATTCCAATAAAGATGTTAAAATTAATGGTGTGTATTACCTAGTTTTCTCGATGTTGGAGTGTCTTCACTAGTGTAGTGGTATTATTATTAGTGGCAGAAGGTGCTCTTCAATGTAGATAAGGTACATTTTATTTTATTACGCTGATCTAAGTTAATTCATTTTAGCATTTTTAATTTTATAACCATAAACTGAATTTCATATTTGTGAACTGCGTAAGGTTTTATGATTTACTTATCAACCAGAAAACACGATGTAAGACTTTCACAAATATTATCAATTCTTAAGAAGTTTAAGTACGATGACAATATGTTAATATGTCAATTAGTGAAAATGGAAAACCTAATAGTAGATATCTTTTTAATATTAACATGGCCTGAACTGGGAACGTATGTAATACAGATTAAGGAGTAGTGATTTCTATACATATGAAAATTCCTACTAAATACTCTTATAATAAATTTGTAAATCAAATATCACAAAAATCATTCAAGTCTTTCGAGCAATCAGAAAACACAATATATTACATTTATAATATTATATAAAAGTAAGAAAATAAAGATTTGTTTTCTTATTTTTATATAATAGTCTGTTTTTTACCACAAACATATAATCGTTTGCTAATATAATTTATTCTCCAAACCAACTACTATTTTGAAATTAGGGTAACGACTGGCGAAGGAATGGCTATAGAATACCACATTTTTTAAATAGAATAAGGATGACAAACGAGCATACAGTCCACCTGATGGTAAGTGGATGTTTTGGCCCGTAGACATTTACATTTATCCTCGATTAAGAATCAAAACGCAGATACGTTATCATCCCTGAGGACTAAGATGGAATGCCTCGTATCCAGTAAAAAAGGGTTTCCGGATCTCTACACTCACCATACGAAACACAGCAGTATTACGCTGCTATTTTACGTTGGTATTGTGAGAACGTGGTCCTTTCCCGGTCGAGCCGTCCCATTCGTGCTATCACC